GAAAGACAACTAAGCTTGGTCCACAAAAGCTTACGCGGAGGTCCAATAACAGGATTAGACGTTTCGATGGTCAAATTACGTGGTCAGCGGTGGAGGCAAAAACCGTGAACAAAAAATACTGGGAGAGCGTCGACTGGCCTACTCAAACAAGGATAAGTCAGATAAGACCAGTAAAATTAATTAGATAAATAACTTAGGGGTCGATGATAAATTTGATAATCGTATCGTCTGTAATGGATGTTCGCGCTAAGAGAAGCGCAAAGCTGCCAATCGATCATCACTTTGTTGCTGGCACCCTTTGCTGTAAACGACGGAGCCAAAAGCGAAGACCTGGTAAAATGCGCAAACAGATCATTAAATGAGAAACATTATTTTCAGCGGATCTGTAACTTGCAAACAACATCACATTGTGGTTTGAACAGATCCCAGTGATGGAATCTACGTTGAAGCCGAGTTCAGTGTCCTTAAACGTGCTTACCTGAGGCTAACACCGAATGGTGCGATTTACAATGGTTTGGTCTGCGCTTGAGGGTCAAAAATGAACCTCCTGATGGCACTGGAGGTTCAGCTAGATGGAGCAAGAAAAACCTTATTAGAGAGATAGCTTGGAAGCAAAGAACTTCCAAGTCGCATGCAACAGAAAAAAGTGCGCAAGGTGGCAGTGAAAGCTGATTCTTGGGAGAAATTCCGAAGGGGTTGGATTCGAATTTCCAGATGGCAAACAAGGCATTCTGGCAGGCCATCTGCCACGTTCGAGATTAAAACGTAGAAGTACTAAGTGCAACTGCTAAGATTACTGAAGGAAAAGTTCAGATACATTCTTACCAAGGAAGAGGACATACATCGGCAACAGCGAGAGTACTCTAACCTCAAGCAGCCAGAGAAAGACTCGCCTGAACAGGAGCAGGCAACAGGATCAGTAAAGGAAATCACAAAAGCTGTAAAATTTTGAAAATTGGCAAGGCTGCTGAAATCGATGACTTGTGCCCTAAAATGCTTAAAGCCTCAGGCAAACAAGGCATGTTGCGGCGATAAAGTGCCCGTCAAACTGCAGAGATTACGGGCAGGAGAAATGGAAAAGCAGTACTCTTGCCCAAGAAGGGGACCAGAGGACCTGCTCCAATTATCGGGGCATTACCTAACTGAGACTCGCAAAAAAAAGTTTCATAAAGGTGTTGAAAAAAAGATGCCGCAGAAGAGCTATCTCTGAGATTCAAAAAAGCCACGTGGCTTCAGATCAGGCCGAATCACCTCTGACAAGATCTTCGAATTATGCCAGATTGGTGAGAAATCGTGAGAATTCGCTCATCTGGTTTACATGTGCTTTGTTCACCTGATGAAAGCCTATGACCGGATTCCGCACAGCTTTCTGTCAGTGTGCCTGCAAACATATGGGATAGCCAGCCACTGCGTGTTGATAGCAGGTGCTATGTCAGAGCATATGACGCCAAATCGAAACCTTTCAACGTCGGCACTGACTATCCTTCGTCAAGGCTGTGTTATTTCCCCTCTTCCGCTTGTAATGTAGATGGATTTGTCAGGCACAGCAAAGGCGACGAATGTAGCAAAGTAGGAAATGTGGAAACCAGAAATTTGGTGACATCTTCTGACCTCAGCGTAAAGTGGAAAGTTTCGCAGCTGAGTGCGACGTGATCGGCATGTGCGTGAACGTACCTAAAACGAAAAGCATCGTTCTTTCTCGTTCTTCTGCCCGTTGCGCTCTTCAGATAAACGGAAAAGCACTGGAACGGGTGGAAAAATTCACTTACCTCAGGACTATGGCTGAAAAACTTCGATCTCAGGTACAAGCGGCTGAAATGGGCTTGCTGAGAAATGGCTGATTTCCATGCCTGAGACAGTGTTGGTGAACAACTACTACTTCTCCAAAATAAGAAGTCATAGTTGTCATGGTTTGGGCACGTCTTGCGAAACGGAGAAAAGGAAGGCAAAACCGCAACTACTTGCTCGATGCACTGGCCTAAAGCCTCGGAGACGGCCAAGAATATCGTGGGGCAAGTGTCTAGAAGATCTCTGCTGCAGATTTGGATTATGTCCAGCTGAAAACCAAATGCTGGCAGAGGATCAGGAACGTTGGAGAGGGTCTTGCAGGTCTGCCTATGCGGCCAGAAAGGATAAGCGGTCATCGAAACTGGCTGAACTGAGATTAACGTCGAATATGCACATCTTCTCCTGTGTTTATATTACGGTGCTTAGTGGTGATGCGACACCATTAGTCAAGCTTCTCTTATGAAATCTACAAGTACGGCTACGCAAAATGCACGAAATTTAATCTCTTCCCTGCAACTACTACTCATTACTACTGCTGATTCATCTTGTTGTTCATCTCGGAAAGATGTAAGGCAGGGGAAAGGTCAGACGATTAAAATGCGCAGTCTTTTGGGCTATAGCTGGACCTTCTTGGCATTCTACTGACTGAATCATTCCTAGGAACAGGTCAGGATGATAAATCTCTACCAGTGACACTGACAATACCAAATGAGATTGATTCACTGCTATACTTCTACTACATCTGGTATTGGAGCAGTTGTGCGTTATATTAAATACCTCTGCATGTGAACATACATTCATGTTTATGCATTACGAAATGAATAGCATATCCTAAAACACTTTTTATAATGGTTTTTCATTGCACGAGGTGGCTCTAGTGAACAAAATGACGTGAAATGCATATGGCACTGCAGGTACTCAAATACCATGAAGCCGTGGCTTGCTTAAACGGCAACCAGGAGCAAAGGAACGGTTACATATGCCGTGAAATCTGACCTTGTTTTCTCAGAAAAATATGTTAGAGATGTTTTCCAGTAAAATATTAATTGATCATATAACATGAGAACACTGCCAAAGAGAAAAAACTTAGCACTGCAGATCAGACATTGTCATAAGCTGCAAATGCGAACCGCTAATTGACAAATGAAATATACGCAGGACATTTAATCGGTACTTGCCTCCATAAAGTCGTCTTGTTCAATGTAAAAAACAGAATCGAACGCAACGGTATGAAAAGAAGAACAATCTGCGTCGCCAGGAAAATCAGGCACATTCACACTCTGCGGAAGCCAATTTGGGCCATGAACGATATTCACTCTCAGTGGCTGCAAAACGGCCATGTACCTTAAATATGTTATTTAATTGCAAAAAAAGACAAGATTAATAAAGAATGAGAGTTAAAAACAAAATATGAAAAATATTATGTAAAAAATGTTTGTTGAGATGTTCGCTAGTGATAGAAGGAGTCTTGAGACCTTTATGCAGGAATGTATGTATGTAAGAATGCAATTCATTCGCACGGAATATTCTCGCTTTTATTCAAATTGCTCTAAAACGGGTAGCTTAAACTTTCGTCTTAAGCGTATGTGATAGAAGCAAAAAATATCAACACCTAAAAATCGGTATAGCAGT